GGCATCCGAGCATCCGAAATTCTCGGTTTTTTAAATAAAGGCTAGACCGATCGAGTTCTGAATCTGAGCTATGCTATACGTGCAAAGGAAAGCAGCCTTAATATGTAAAAGTTACATTAATATTTTATTAAAAATTTAAATTTTCTTTTAAATTCAATACATTTTTTCCAACTGTGATAATATTTTTAGAAGATTCCAACTAATAGTGAAAATTAATTGATTAAAAATAATTGATAATAATTAGCTCACTTTATTAGTAATTTTCTAAAAAAGGAAGCATAACATATTTCAAAATTTAATTGTTGTGTTTAATACTTGATAATCGTATATTTCAATAGTCATCAACTACACGAGATATTAACCAACTGATGAAGTCCACTTGGCTTTTTACACGCACGCACATGCGTTTGTCACGCTCTTTCTGGCCATGTTCTTCGCGAAGAAGTGAAACCGTGTCACCCGCGCTATTTCTAACGGCGACCGCTGCTTTCGTGAACGATCATTGCTAACAAGTATTCTTAATGTATCGAGTCCGATTCACCTGCTCCGGCTCCAATAGGCTCTTTGTAAGAGAAACAGTTTTAAGGTCATTAACCTTAAACGCCTCGAACCAAAGGTGGGGCTGTCCGACCGAAAAGCAGACGAGGGGCCAGGCACCTTTTGCTTTCACTTTTGCTTGCCGAATATAATCGTCCAAAACGACTGTGCACGCGCGCGTGAAGTTCTGATATGCCAGACACGGAAAGCCGCCGAGGAAGAAGGCGAGGACGGTTGTGAAACCCGCTCTTAGCTCAGAAAGAAAGGGAAAGGGCCGGTCATATGACGCGAAGAAATGGATGACGAAGAGGATGCAAGAGCAATATGAGAGCAATAAATCAAAAATTAATTTACCGTGTAGTAGCGTGCGTAGTGCCAAGTGGTACAAGATTGGATCTGCGAAGAACTTCTAGAATCGTCGCCTCAGTAATCGGAAGAAATTGACGATCCTCCAATGAGGGTAATCTTGATCTTCCTACGACTTGATCCAATTCATCCTGTACTGCCCTTGCTGCTTCTGGATGATGCAACATGAAAACCACCGACCACTCCAGAGTATTCTTCACCGTTTCCATACCCGCGGAGAAGAGATCGCCCAGAATTTGTTGCATTTGACGAACTGTGTAAAGAAAAGAGCTCAATCATTCAAACAAGTTTTCGCGTTATATATAAATCGTTAAATTATATAAATATAACGTTATTAATATTGTTTGTACGGAGAGAACTAATATAATTCTTTGAAAAAAATCGATTTCTACTTACCCTTATCTTTTCCTTGAAAAAGCTGATCTTCTCGATTTTCTTCCTCAGCTTTCTGAATTTCGTACAGATAGGCATCGAGAATATCATTAATGTTATTCTCATCATACGTTGCTTTATGCTCATTGATAACTTCTTGAAAGAATTCAGCCATTTCCGATCGATTTTTTTCGATTTTATTTTGGACGCTATTAATCCATGGGAAGTGACGCAATATCGGTATATGATTCGCTAACGTCACTTTACCAAACAGTTTGAATCCTTCGTTAATGAGGTCCATAAATCTCTCGAATTTCGGGTCGCCTTGGTAGAAACGTATTCCCATTGTAACCGAGCAGATCACATTACTGATCGATACAGCGAGAGAGGACGTTAGGGTTGTGGGCGCTCCATGTCTCATTACCAATCTCTTAAGAAATATCTCGACTTCGTGCTACATTGAAATATTATGATTGTTTATTTTACAAAAATTTGTATTGAATTTTTTGAAAAATTTTGGGAGCAAAATATTTTTATATATTTTATTTGTATGTAGAATATTTATTGTTTATATATTTTATTTGAATGAAG